AGAGTTGGGCCACCTGGACAATACAGGACGAGCCGGGCAAACTGTGATTAGATTGTGTTATGAGCAGGGGAGGAAAACAATGACATTTTTCATGTGCAAAGTGACAGCTCTGCCAGAGCAAGGAGACATCTGATAAGAGAAGACAAATGTCGCTCTTGGTGCCTTTTAGTTTCTCCATCAACTTCAAGGTCAAAGACACAGAGTTACATTACAGTTTCACTCCTCAATGCCACACAGCAATACATTTTGGTTTTTGCAACTTCAAACATACATTTTCTAATTCAAATATTGTGTCTTTCTTCCTCTCTGACACACACATGCTTGCAGGCTGTTCACACCAACCCACACACTGCTGCCATCCTGCTATTCCCAGCTTGTGGTTATTCCCAGACTGAGTCAGAATGGCACCATAAGCCTGTGTGTCCGTTTTATGCCAAACGTGATGTCTCCTTGTCGCACATGCCTTGGCAGAGAATCACATCCCTGCATACAGTAGCCATCGCTGGGCTGCTCACACACCCTTCCCTCTATAGTTTCATACAGTGTATACGTCATGTTGACAGCTGGGGGCACATTTTAGGTAAGGAAGCCATTTAAATCAAAGTTTTCCTTCTGCTCTAAATAACCTTCCTCTGTCTCCCAGCTGAGTCTTTCTTCACACCTTTATCATTCACCACCATGACAGTTTCCTCTGTGAGTTGCTCCATCTGTTATCTCTGCATCTTTAGGTTTGCCACCACAGTATATCTGGCAACCCTCACCTAGTGATACAACAAATAACAAGGCTGATAGATACTGACTACACAGATGTATAGCAAGAGCACAACCAGGGGTACGACTGAGAGAATGTGTGAATTCATATATGTATATTTTTCACTGAACACATTATTAGATGCATAGATATATTTATTATTAACATCACCAGTGTTTATGCCGGCCTACTGTATTTAAAAAATAATGCTGTGATGAAAGCCAGGACCATGGTGTATGTTATTTATCAAATGTAATATACTCAACCCAACTTCATCTGTAAAAGTCTTATTTATGGATGCAGTGGGACTCCCCAGGCCAGCTCTATCAGTGAAATACTACCAAAATGTTTATTTACTTTCATTTGTAATGTAATATCTATAAATACAGTATATGTATCATCTTTTGAAATGGAAATAACTTGTTTATGAAGCTCAGATATGCCTCAGTGTCCTAATGGACTTGCTAATGATGCGTGCACTTAAACTGATCTTGGTTATGGATGTTGTGCTAATAATCTGATTGTGTGAAAATGCAAACTATTAACCTTATAGTCCCACAAAAAAATAATAATTCTGAAACAATTCATGCCTAAATGCTTTTCTGTAAAACACATAATGTAATATACTTGATCATATCTAAGTGAAGGCGATCTGTATAAATGAACGCTTGTTTGACTCTTGAGCTAATGTAATAAGTACATTTCCCTGTGGGAGATCAATAAAGATCGTATTGTATTGCACGGTATTTGTTATGTGACGATGAACAGGAAATCAACAATGCAACAAGAGCAACACAGGGTGAAGTCAGCATTAGTCTCCTACAATGCAATACCATTTAATACAGCATCACAGCAATGCATATAGCTTTATATCTGGAAACCAGGAAATGTGATTTAACATTTGTTAGTTTTAGGGTTGTTGTATTAAATTGTTTTGTCTTTGAGGTATTTGTATTGTCATACACACATTGTACACACAGTGGAGATGGATACAACATGTTTAGTTTACAATGAATCCTGTTTGCAACACATTTCTTTAAGTAGCCCTATTTAACATTGATAATCTATTTTAATTGAATAAATGATTTATAACAAACTATATCGTTTTCCTCTCATAAGTGAAGACTGGTGTATAAACAAATAATTATGACGAGAAAAAAACAGTGACAGATATTTCATAATAGGAGAAATTATAATTGTTAAAACATTTTTACAATAAATAAAGTAAAAGGTTCCTTGTAATACATGGTTATTTCATTGACTGTTTACTAGTAATGATAGAATATGTTATCCTCCTGTTTGTCAGAGGTTGTAAGTTAATGAGAGTTACAATCTGCCACCAACAGAGGGCAGTCTGTCCACATGGCACACAGACTCTGAACTATGAACCTTGAATCTGATGACCGCTCCATTATTATGGACAGCTGAAACGCTGTGTCATAAATTACGTTATATAATGTGTTGATAGTCAAAACATGTTACTGTCCGGAGCTGCTGAGGGACACTGTATGACAAATGGGGCTGTTTGACACCGGCATGATAACAGATCATCACTATTCAAGCTATATAAAAGGCAAGCTGCAGGAAGGTATAGGCACATTGATCAAAATGTCATCACATTCAGGCAATCTAATAGAACAAAGTGCATTTCTTTTCCACTTTAAAGAGCTTTGACTTGGCCTGGCTACCTCCTGACATCCCCTGGGCTAGCACGTTCACGACTCAGCATTACTCTTTAGACAAACAGGTTTGGACATATTGAACTCAGACCCAAAACAACTTGCCTGTAGCCCGCCACTTTCCACTCTCCCAGCTCTGTTTGTGATTGGGGAAGTGTTTGTCTCTCTCACTCTCTCTCAGAATGTCTGTTTGCCCGACACTTGTCTGGCGTGGCCTAGTTTCGCCTTGATCTCATCAGTCAACGTGAGGACCTGTGAAGGCCATCTCCCCATCTTGCTCTGTGAATCTCTGCCAGCTTCGTGCCTGTGTCAGCAGATAGGGACTGACTCACACCCACGCATTCTCCAGTCTTCGCTCCAGGGCCCACTGGGCAAAAGCAGCACATCTCCCCAAACAGACAGCCTCATTTACATGCCCATAAATCACTCACAAAACTCACACCCCAGCCACACAACAAGGCATGACACAGAGCCACGAAGCCCACTGCCAAATTGCAGTGTTTCATGATATTAGGCTCAAAGGCAGCAATAAGCTATTCATGTAACCTCTTGGGTGATGATTGAGCCAATCACGCTTGAGTGGTACTTACACACATATGGCCCATATCTGAAATCAGAGCAACTTGTGGCCCCATGCTGCATAAATGAATCAAAAAATCTGTGCATTTCCTACTTAAAAGACCTAAACATATGGCTGAATCAAAGCTTATTACAGATTCAAGCAGCAATGAAAGATTGTTGGATTTTCTGAAACTCAGCTTGAGTGAAGAGCATCAAAATGATATTGCCAGTGATTAACGATTCAGCATCCAGGATACTGGAGATACAAGATAGTTGTAATCACTATTAACACGACGCTCTTAAGGACGTAGTGAAATGTGGCTCTCTGAAATATAAATAAATTACAAGTGTTTGCTCTTCAAAATATTTTTAAACTAAGAAATGTCCCCAATTCTCTTTCATTCGCATGCAATATCAATGTACTTTTTTAGGTTTTGTTAAGCTGTTTGTTAGACAGGGAAACTGCGATTGAGAAATAGAGAATATTTGTAATGATAATTTGCAATGAATGTTCTTAAGTGGGCTTTTGGATCCCTTACACAATTTAGACCTAGAACCTAACCTTTGATGCAGTTGGGTTTTGTGTACAATGGGTTTAAAGATAGCTTCCTGCAGCTGAGGCTTCTGCTTGTTTTGGATTCTCAAAGGATCAAAAATGACATTTTAAAAACTCAGCAGCAACGTGGCGTTCTCTGGATAAATGACAGACCTCTCCGTCACTGGGAATTATTCCCCTCCAGAAGCCACGTTTGGTAAAGCTGTCCATGAAGTCTGTAGTGCTGAGTAAACAGAATACTTGACTCTGAATTAGCACGATGCAGAAAATGTTTTTAAGTCTTGTGAGTAGGTGACCTTCAAAAAAAGGCTGTAGCTACTTTACCATCTGACACTGAGTTGATGTCTTTTGTTGTGGGAACGTGGGGTATACAGCCCTCAGAATTGACATGTTAAACATAGTGACAAACTGGTTATTCTTTAGATTTAATGTCCTTAAAACTATTCAATTTTCCAGCAAAAGTAAAACAATAATGTTATCAAACATCAATTAGTTATAAATAATAATACAAAAGGATAATAGCTTAATTACATTTAGCTGCTTCAGTTGCTGACTCACTGCCATGGTTTAGCTTCATGGGACACTTTTACGTAAACACAACTGAGCCATTGTTTGTTTGAATTAGTAACATAATGAAATGGTTTTTCATACTTTGAGAAGAAGAAGAAGAAGAAGAAGAAGAAGAAGAAGAAGAAGAAGAAGAAGAAGAAGAAGAAGAAGAAGAAGAAGAAGAAGAAGAAGAAGAAGAAGAAGAAGAAGAAGCTTATTGTCATTACGTAGTACAGGTAGGCCTATATGTAACGAAACGGTTTCTCTGCATTTGACCCATATAGTGTTAGGAGCAGTGGGCTGCCATTATGTACGGCGCCCGGGGACAAGTAGTTTACAACTGTCTGTTATGGGGACAATACATGTTGTGTTGTTTTGTTCACAAAGGTATCATCATCAGCTTATATTTCAAAAGTATCTGCAAATAACACCAAAGCATTCTGTATCATTTATCATTACATTTGTTTTTTGGGTTAACTAACCATTCAAGTTTTCCTAAAGTTTTGTGTTTCACAAATGAAGAAGTTAAAACAAGTGTAATTTCCTGGGAATGAATCCTCATATTTCATGGGGATGTTTAAAAAAAAACACATCTTTTTATGGTATGACTTGACAGAATTATGTAACTGTGCTAAGAATAATCCGACAGGGCGGGAACCTCAGTGAAACTAAAACCATTAACCTACTTTTGCACATGTCCTCGTGATATTAGGGGAGCCACCCCCACAGACCCACAGCGCGGGGCTGCCACACCGCTCCCACCGCCCGAGGGAATATTTCGGTGTGTCGGCGAACAGACGACACAACTTGTTTCGCTCTCCCCGCTCCCTGTCTCCCCACGCACACACAAACACACACACACACACACACACAGTGTGGAGTGGGAGGGGAATATTTCTTCCCCTAGCCGGTCGCTTCGGCTTTCCTACTGTGCGCGCTTCTCTCTCTCCCTCCCCTCCCTTTCACTCCCTTTTCCTCTCCTCCCTCCGTACAACCTCCCGGTTTCCTCAAACGCGATGACAGTCAAGGCGAACGCGTGAGCGGATCCCACAGGTGTGTTCCTGACAACTGAAGCCACGGATCCTCACACACACACACACACACACCTGGAAATTACCATGTGACTCGGCACCTGGGCGTGGAGAAAGTCCCTGATATTCTACCAAGAGAGCCTTTTGTTGAGGAGTTGCTCGGGTCGCCTTTCAACGGGAGTCGTTCAAACAAGTAGCCCGTGTTTTCTACGGAAAAGTGCCTTTTTAAAACCCCCGCACATGACGTGTGGGGAGAGTAAAATGTGAACTTGGTCACGGACTTATTTCCTTTTTTTTTTTACTCTTTTTCCGAAGGGTTTGACAGTATCGGGACTTTTCGCGTTTGTGCAACTCTCAGCTGCTTCTCCTCCAAGGTGAGTTCAGGGGAAGCTTGTGTATCGCAGCTAAGTGGGGTCGGCATTTAAGCATAATATACATTTCTAACCCAGGTGTATTTAACACTAAGTTTTGATAGCTTATGATACGCCCTATGGATATGGCATGGAGGGGTAAACACGCTGCTCTTTACACGGTACTGTTTTATACACCGTGCCACACTGAAGTATTCCTACATATGTCCATTTAAAACACATGTGCTTCTTGTAAATGAATGAAATGCGTTGAAAACAGTTGTTTAAAAAGATAAAATAATGTGTACTTCAGTCTTTTGTGCAGGAATTGTCGAAACGCTTGTCATGCCGGGGTGCAAAGTTGCTCTTCTGGTAAACTCAACAGCTGTGTGTTTGGAGATTAAAAAAACAACAACAACTAAGAACCTCCTGGCAGACATGCTCTCTACCCTAAACCATTTCATCTCAGCCACAACATCTGCCCAGTCAACTCACAAGGAGCCTTCTGTCCCTGAACACAGGCAATTTAAGTGAGGAATGGGCATGTGGACTGTGTTCCTCACCTCTGGACAGTAGGCTGTACATCAACAGCTGAGAGGACTCAAGCAACAGAGAGCATTGCCTTTTGTTTGTGTTTCTTTCCCCTCTCTTTCTGATGGAGAACAGGGACACAGAAGCACTATTCATGTCCTGTTGAATCTCCTGTGCAGTTCTGTCAGTCTGTATCTCTCAGTCCCTGGCGCGGCCCTCTTTAGACCACTGTACTGCCTTGTTGTCTCTCTAAATCGCCCTTTTATGTTGGCAGGCCATGCCATCTTCCGCCCCACGTGCAAAGACCTACTGTACATCGGATGCTCTGTCTCTTAGGGATTAATTTCATTAGATAACATTATGCAAGCAGTCTTATAGTGGGAATGGATTAGTGCAGTGCACGTGGAGGCAGGAAAGGCTGGTGGTAGAGGTGATGGCTGGAAGGGGGTTATAGCAGGGGGTCAACAGTCTACCAACTGAGCAAGTAAGGTTTTCCAATAGATGCCATCTGCTCACATGGACACACACAGGCAATTGAAAACCATGCTGCTTCCTTGTCTGTTCCCTCTTTCCACCATATCTCTCTTTCCTTGTTCTTTCTCTCTCTCTGCCCAACAATGCTTCATTCACAGTTTATCTCTTCCACTCTGAATAAATAGAGACACCTTATCTGCGCACAGGAGAGTGGTGATAAATGCTTTCTCCTGCTCCCTGCAAGGGTGAAGAAGACAAGCGTACCACACTTCTCATCATGCACTTTTCCGGGCAAGTGAATAGGAGACATATCTCATTCAGGTCATGTTAGTGTTTCAAGATCCTGCGAAACAATCCCAAAAGCTGAGTGCAAACTACTTTGCTGTACAAAGAAAACAGAAAATGACAAACAAGGCAGGCGTTTCTCTGTAAACTTTGTTTTGGTTATAGGCTGCTGCCTCTAGAAATGAAACTTTGTGGTGAGATACACTCCAGCTATTCTTGGATCCAGTAAAATGGCCTCTGATCAACTGTGAAACAGAGTGTAGTGAGCATTTAGCTGTTAAGCTGCCACATGTTTTGGTTGAAAAAAGTTCATTGTGTCCTGTTTTAGTATTGCACACTTTTCTCTGATAGTTTAAAACCATGTCATCTCCTGGAACCATGTGCCGCATTTAAGCGAGCGCTGTAATATTTTTTAGGTCAAATGAATTTGAACTTATCCCCCGTCTCTTTTGTTTCCTTTGCCTTGGATTACTGACTTCTGTCATTTTCATTTTGAAAATAAAACCATAATCCTCGTACGCAAGGGAAAGCCCATGCCTCCTGTCTGCAGCCTACAAGCTGATAAACAGCATTAAACAAACTGATACATGAATTGTGTTTATATTGGTAGTTCATCGCAGGTTGTTCATTTAAAATGGCTAGTTAATCTCCTTTCTTCTTGTCTTCCTACTAAAAACACTATTTTCTCATAAGCATACTGCTATCTGTAAGAGCTAGTTTCTCTTTGATTAGCTAACTGGAAGTCATTGTTTGACCAACATGACCCCACTGTGGATTGGACTTTGTAAACAATTTGCTCATAAAATAGGTGTGGCGTGTATGAGAAAGGCCCATATGCATTACCTTGTACCACTAGCTTATCTAAAGTACACAGGCTTCAGAGGAGTCTGTGCAGATGCATGAAGGGCGTGTCAGCTAGGCATTAGACGGCTAAAGAATCTGGGGAATAGAGATTTCCTTCAGATAGGAGATAGGCTTGTCTTTTCATGTCTTGAGGATTATACAATGATGATGGGACGTCATGGTGAGGTGGATTTCTGATCTTATTCCCGCCGGGTTTTAAAGCTGCCACCCTTGCCCTTGGACTCCTTGGGCTGGTCCCAAACCTTCCCTTCAACAACTTCCCTTTCTTTACCCGGCCATCTTGCTCCAAAGTGGCTTTGTTTGTACTTCACACACCAAACCCTCGCCACTCCACACTTCTCCCCTTCTGTGTATTTGAGATCTGTGATAACAGGACAATGTATGACAGTCTTGCTAGGTGTGATCATGCCAATTCTCATGCTAACTCTCCCGGCAGCCAGCTATGTGGACAGGCTCTTTGGAAGGAGATGGCGGCCAACCCACCAAGTTATGAAGCTTTAAATCCACTGCAATCCACAGTTTAACCTCGTTTGTCCACAGCACTTTATTATTATGGTCAAGTTCCTCAGAAGGCTGTACTTTTACCACCTTTAAAAACAACAGTGAAATGTTCTCAACCCACACACAGTCTTTCATCTCATGTCACTGACAGACCACACCAAGCCCTCTATCCATCGTGGCTTACATTCTTCTCCACTCCACCGCCACCTCGTGCTGAGTTTTCCCCGCGGCTGCCCTCACTTCTACCTTTAACCGTTGTGACTTTTCCCTACACTCTCAGTACTCGGAGCGTGAGTAAGAGGAACATGATGAATATTGTAAACGTGCTCGCACTCATGAAAGAGATAAATGATTCACATAGGGAGGCAGCTGCTTTAATTGCTTGATTGAGAGGTTGTGGGCAGGATGTCTTGCCAGAGAAGGTCGACAACCTAATATTTATTTTAAAAGAGAAAGGGAAACAGTTGAAGTGATATGAGGTTTTGAGAGGAAGGCAGCTTGTATAAAAAAGGCATGTTGTGTGGGGATGACAGTCAGCAGACATGAGGTTGCATAGCTGAGGACTAAACACTGGTGATGGATCACAATACACACATCTGCCTCGGTGTGCCTCACCCACTTCCCCGTGGCAGCTGAGCTGACAGGCTGACACACAGCACCACAGAGGCTTGTGGTGCTACCTGCTCACTGAAGGCCTGTCAACCAGCTCTGGACAAAGGCAAAAGTTCACATCCAGCCAGCCATTTCAGCCAGCCAGGCACCACACGGGCAGGTATCTGAAAACGAATCAGCAATGATGAGAGTGAAGGGTCACCTTGATTTCCTATCCTGGGAAATCTCAGTCCGATGCTTTCTTCTCAAAGCTTGTATTGGCAGCAGAAAAGAGAGCAGCAAGCTAATTTATGTTTTGCTTTTGGTAATTGAGTCTGGCACGTATTGCTATCAAAATGCTATCCACTTAATCACTACAGAGGGAAGTTGGTCGTGCCTGCTTCAATCAGTGTAACGCTACGGGCTGATGTTCGGTCCAGCTCACGATGTAAGGACGATTCACAGATCTCTCAGACTTTAACATATCGAAGATGAGTCAACGCTTCATTTCTGTGCAAATTGAGGGTGCCTGTGTAGGATTTGGCAGCGTTCTGCTGATATATCTTTCTCGGAGAGATTTTGGTTTGAAATGGACTTAGGCTTACTGTAGCTGAGAAATAATGGAAACTGTGGAGCCACTTAATGCACCTGTAATGCATTTTCACTGCACTTTTTGTTCCTAACTGAGCGTCGCTCCATGTTGAGTGCCATTTAATCCTAGCTAAGAGCACAGGGTGCAATTCATTTTTATTCAAGTAATTTCTTAGTTAATCCTCAAACTGACCAATTAACTTCTGCCAAGATCATTTTTAATTATCACCTCTGCTTTACAGCTAATATGACTTCCAGCTGGTTTATGTTAATATGGTAGTTGCTATCGAGTATTGGCACTCTGATTCTTCTTCTTTTTTTTTTGTATGCACGCTGAGCGATTAATTATGTAGTACTGAAAATGAGCCTCAGCCAGGACTGGCGGGGTGACAGATGCATGAAGGGTCAGTGCACTGTCGGCAGCTGGAGATGAAGGTCACACCAACCTGAGAGAGCTAAGGGGGAAGGTGGAAACTGAGGAAGACATGGAGGGATGCTCTGTTAAAGTGTAACTTCATAGAAGAGATGAATGATCCTCATTGATATAGGAAGTAACTCAATTGCACAAGTTTGACTCTGAACAACCTTGTTTTAAATAGACGGTGCTTTTAAAAAGAAACTTACAAGCTTCAGTGTGTCTCAACCAGAAACAGCGCTTCGTTTGGCGTGAACAACTGATTAGAAAAGCATTACAATATTTACCACTTTAATTTCCATATTACAAGCAACTGCTATTTATGTTCTTTCACACATTTAAATAAGAAAATTATAGTTGACCTGCCAGGTATTTGTGCATTAAGAGTGCCTCATTTACAATTTTAAGTGGGGTGAAATCTGGCACCTCTTATAATATAAATACTGTAGGCAGAACCTGCTCTAAAATAGAAATAGCAACATTAGATCTTGAGGAAACATATGCTGTCCTTATTATCGCTGGCATCTGCTGAAACCAACTGGCAGCTGGAAATGGACATGGGGGGGGGGGGGGTGGCAGCACTGCTGGAGGTAGGGTGTCTATCTCTTGCTTGTCTTTTTCGATCATAGTGTAAAGCCAGGGAAGGTTTTGCTGGGAAAAGATGAGATTTTTTTCATTAAGCCATACCTGTGCTTGCCATTGAACGCTATTTTGCACTCAATTGCTTTTGGTAATTATGTCTTTAAAATGAAATCACATGCTTGATTAATGA